TTCTGAGAGGCACTACGCTGCGAGAGTCTGCTTCCACAGGCGGAGAGAGACTGCAGTCCTTGGCTTAGTGCTTGGTCTCTTAGTGCTTGGTCTCTTAGTGCTTGGTCTCTCACATCTTGATCTACTGGTGTTTGTTCCCCTGGTGCTGCTTCGTTTGTGGCTGCAGCGGTGGGTTGGACAGGAAGATTTGGTATGCTGGCTACCGGTTGCAATGCAGTGCCGCTACCAGCTCGTGCTGCTGCTGCTGCAGAAATTGATCCGATGTTGAAGCTGGGCTTTAATGCTGATGCTGCTGTAGCTGCCGCTGAATGTAACAATTCTTCTTGTGCTCCTGCTCCTGCTCTGGCTGCGACATCACCTGCAGCATCAGCACCTGTCTCTAGCCGCAATGCCTCTAACTCTTCCTGAGATGCTACACCACCTCCTCCTCCTGCTGCCCCTCCGCTTGCTCCCCTTGCTGCAGTTCCTGGCCCCTTTCCTCCTCCCCTTTCTCCACCTCCCGATCGCACTCCTGACGTTGTCCCTCCACCGTCACCACCACCATCACCTCCTCCTCCTCCTTCTAGTGCCACTTGCACTGGTGCTACGGCCCTTCCTACCTCTGCTGCTGCCCCTGTTCCTTCTGCTGCTGCTTCTACCACTGCTACTGCTCTTTCTCTTGCTCCAGCTTCCGCTGCTGCTGCTCCTATTTCTGCGGCCGCTAGAACCTCCGGCGGAAGTACTGATGGGCGAATCAACGCAGAAGGGTTAGGAGCAAGAATCGGAAGCATGTGGTTGGGAGGTAGAGGGGGGAGCGAGAGTGGCAAACGCGGCGGAAGCGAGGCGAAACGAGTGAGGGATGACCGAGTGGCGATAGGACGAACAGAGGCAGGCAGAGAAGGTCGCCGTAGAAGGGAGCGTAGCTGCTGCTGCTGGTGCTGGTGCTGCAATAAAGAAAAGGTTGGGAGCTGTGGAATTGTGGGAGACTGAAGAGGTGACAGCATTGGTGGCTGGATCTGTGGCAGCAATGGCAGTTGATGTTGTGATACGGTCCACGGGTATGATTGGAAGGAGGGATGCTGCTGTGAGGGAGGTACTGGATGGTGCCACGGCAACGACGCTAGCGGCTGTTGTTGCGGCTGCTGCTGTTGCTGTTGCGGCTGATGCGGCTGTTGCTGCTGCAGCAGCTGCTGTTGCTGCTGCTGTTGCTGCTGCTGTTGCTCTTGCTGTTGCCGTGGCTGTTGCTGTTGCTGTTGCCGCGGCTGTTGCCGCGGCTGTTGCTGTTGCTGTTGCTGTTGCTGTTGCTGTTGCTGTTGCTGTTGCCGCGGCTGTTGCTGCTGCTGTTGCGGTTGCTGCTGCTGTTGCTGTCGTTGCTGCTGCTGCTGCTGCTCTTGCTGCAGCTGCTCGTGTTGATGTTGCTGCTGCGGACGCTGTTGCTGTTGTTGTTGCTGCTGCAGCTGCTCCGGCTGCTGCTGCTGCTGCTGCTGCTGCTGCTGCTGCTGCTCCGGCTGCTGTTGCTGCTGCTGCAACACGACTGAATCTGTCTGTTGCTGTGATAGCTGCAGCAACAGCGCCAACTGTTGAATGCTTAGATTCTCAAGAGAAGTTGGTACGAGCGAGCCCACGGATGAACCTAGAGCTAATCCGTGCGACGAGCCATCCGACGAACGAGGCACGACAAAATCGGCGCCAGGGTTTGACTGTAACCGCAACTGGTCCGGCTGCTGTCTTTGCAAGCTATCTGAGCGCACTATCTGTTCTTGTAACCCCAAACCCCGCCCTTGCGACCCACCATACTGCCGATGAGGGTTAAGAAAAGTTTCGTGATCTTGTGCGGCCTGTGCCAAAAGCCTCTCAGCTGCAAACTGAATCTGCTGGTCGGCTACAGACGTGCTTTGTCGTTCTGCCACAGCCGGGTCGGCTAGAAATCGCCTCTGTTGTTCTGCTACAGCCAGGTCAGCAAGAGATTTTCTCTGTCGTTCTGCTACAGCTTGGTCCTCCGCCTGGGATCGTTGCTGCCACCGCTGCTCCAGCTCCTGCTGGCTATCCATGAATCGTTCAAAGTCAATTTCTGCACGCACGTGGAAGCATGCAGGACATGAGAAAGAATGCAACCTTAAGGTTTCGGTTGCTTCTTAATCCAGAGCATCCTGTTCTTCATCATGCATCACAAACCCCGAGAAGAAAATAGCTTGCTACTTGATCCAGAAGTTCATGTGACCTTGTGCTTAGTCTCACAAGTCAGATCAAACCCGAGAAGGAAGGGGAAGGAGATGAGCATACCACGCCTGTGCAAATTCATGTGGCCTCCCAGCGCTCGCGGATCCTGGAACTCCCGCTTGCAGAAACGGCACTCCACCCCCCCTTCTATCGCCGGAACAAAGCCTCTCTCAGGGGGGGTCCCTGAGTCGATTCCTCCAGTCTGATTTGCCCTCTCTTGACCTCTACTGCTAGGTGAATCTATACCTCGTGCTTCGCTACTTTGACCTCTGCCTGACATGGGTGAGCGGTTGGTTACATTCCTGTGTCTTCTTGACGGGGAATTGGTGTTTCCCAGAGAAGGATTGTTCGTGCCAGGGGTTATAGAACCATGAAAACTGGATCCAGATGATGCAGATGCTGTCCTAAAGGACGCACTCTGCGCGGACGCGCTCTGAGCAGAGACACTCTGAGCGGATCGAGAAGGAAGCAAAGAACCTGATGGGATCCGAGACAGGAAATCTGAGACTGGGGGGTGAAATTGTGCATGTGAGTGTGCTCTCTGGGCAGAAAACGGCTCAAAACCCCGGGAGCTACTGCCAGCACCAGCAGCATGATCTTGATCAGATCCTCCTAGCAAACCTCCTCCGAGAGGAGCCAGCAACCCTCTGGAAGTCGCTGCACCTGCTGCTGCTGCTGCTGCTGCTGCTGGGCTGAAAACATCGTGCCAATCTTTTGCTGCTTCCTTCACCTCTGCTTCGCTCGGAAGAACCTTCACCTGCCCGCGTCTTCTACGCCTTTTTTTGTAGCCACTCTCACCATTCTGCTGATCTTCTTGTTGCTCATGATCCTCTTTATGCTGCTCTTGCCGGCGCTGCTGCTGCTGTTCCGGCTGTTCCAACTGCTGTTCCTCATCCTGCTGTAGCTGTTCCTGCTGCTGGACTTGTTCCGGCTCTTGCCGCTGCTGTGCATCCGCGGCCAATTCCAGCTGCTGCGGCTGCTGGGAGTCGCCTTGAAGCCTCTCAAGCATCTCTTGTGCCAGGCGAGCCTGCTCCATCGCCCTTTGCTCGTCCATCATAGGTTTCCTTCAGCAATCTCCGTATTTCTTCTGTTATTAAAACTAAACCCCATCACCATCTTCAGTGGTACAGGGAATCACCACTATGAGACACAGTGACTGCGGTGGTACACCATCATGTGGCACAATCCCTCGTTCACCCGACGCCTTTCCTTATAATCAGTAAACCACGGTAATAAATGAACCATCCCAACCATTCCGCGTACCACTGCAGTCCATCGGACTCTATAGCGACCACTCTAAGTCTCCCGCCAAATTCTGACCTAGAATCACCCTCAGATGGTGGAAGGGGGGACTTCTCGTGCGAGTGGAATTCAAGCAATCGCCGCCCTAACCGCGAGGTTCGGAACCTCCTAGATAATCCCTGCCGCTCGCGTGACAGCCTGAGGCAATCTGCTCTCCGAACTCTGGGCTCATGCAAGCGTCCGTTGTTGGACTGTTTGAACGACACGTGGCAAGGAAGCCCAAATATGATCGTCATCATGTTCAGATGAATGCGTTAGCCTGCAAAGTTTCTGGACACAGTGACTGCCGTTGGAAGCGCAGTGCTTACAGGAACTTGTAAGGGTGGGAGCTTGCTGCTGCAGGGGGTGCTTGTGATTCTGGAATTTATCTTGATTCCCCACGATTCTGCAACTTGTATCCCGCGTGAAGGAGCGTAAGCGCGCTAGGTGCGATAAGCATGCGTGAGACACATATCCTGCTCTGCCACGCAGCAATTTGCTCTTCTGCCATTCAAATGAGGAAACTGTCTAAATGAACGCCGCATGTGACTGAAGCAGAAATCGCTGGGGTCTAGCAATTTGAGGGCGTGGTCGGTGTAAATGAACCAACTGAGACAAACCCCTCGTCCAGAGGGTGAATGACAAAGTTACGCCGCTTTTTCCAATTGAGAAATCCAGCTGTAGACCGACGATCCACCGCCACTGCAGACACTTGTTGGCTCAAGTTGTCATATATGTCACGCCTCTGTTTGTGTGTTGTCACTCGTACAGCTGGATCGGCGACTATTCCGAGGTTCGTAAATCACCACTGACATTCAACGCATGATTCGACTAGGTTCAGCTACTGTACACTTTTCCGGTGAACAAGGTCCACTTGGTTACGTTGAGAAGAAATTGGACACTAAAGGGAAGAACTTAATGCAGGCACACATTCATCTTTTATTTAGAATGAGCAGACGAAATGGTGAATGACTTAGCTCTGAGTAAATGACACAATGGTTACCACCCATCTACAATAAATCTACTAACTGAGAGAATGACACATTTATATACGGTACATGAAGGCCTGTCCCTTTCAATATGAACATGTTGAGAAGTGCAATGTTTGAAGGCAGCAAGGAAATCGGCCAGAGGTGCGTGGGACGAGCATTGTAGAATTTGGATGAGCGATGCCATACTAATACTACCTTTTCTTTTCTTCTTTTTGTCATCTCCAGAAGGATATTCCTCACACGGTCCTCTTTCTTCAATTCTACACTACATCAGCTTGCTTACCCATTTCATTATTCAGTCATTCACTTGTACCATCATTTTCGAAACACTACCGTACCGGTACCGTACCACTCCTCGTTCCTAGAGCAAAGATAGGGTAACAAATGTGCACACGAGCCATCCACATCCTGTTTACAAACCAATCATTACCTCGCGACAACAGCATCCTGCCAGTTGTTAACATCAACTGCTGCTGCAGGAGACAACAGATGGGCTGCACCAACCCACTGCAATCATTACCTACTGCATCATGACAGCAAGACCCTGCCTGTTGTTACATCCACCACTGGAGCAGGCAACGAGAAATGCGCTGCACAAACCATATCTTTCGCCGATTTAGATTCAGACGAAACACCGGGATTGTCAGCAGCACAAACGGACGATTTCATCATCGGCTCGAAAGCAGCAGCGGATACTCGGGATGAGGTGACGGCTGAGTCGAGGGAGAGGGGCGACCGCCACAGGTGGTGGGCGGCGGCACTCATGCTTTGCGCCTCACTGGCGCGCATGGGGAAGGCCTGAAGGGCCGCTGCGTAGCGCTCTGGTAGGATGGGGGGAGGCATGGACAGCAGTAGCATAGAGGGTAGCATGGTGAGATACAGAGGTGGTGGGCGGCGGCACTCATGCTTTGCGCCTCACTGGTGCACATGGGGAAGGCTTGAAGTGCTGCTGCGTAGAGCTCTGGTCGAATGGGGGGGGGCACAGAAGGCAGAACAGAGGGCAGCATAAAGGGCAGAACAGAGGGCAGAATAAAGGGCAGAACAGAGGGCAGCATAGAGGGCAGAAAGAAATTGAGAACCATTCACTGCACTCATGCTCACGCCTCACTGGCACGTATGGGGAAGGCTTGCAGTGCAGCGAGCATGGAGGGCAGGCAGTAGAGAGAAAACTTACAGTGCGTGACTTGGAAACAAACGGAATAATGAGAAACTATAATCGCACATACATGATACAGTAATGAGCAGCACAGATTGGGGGAGGGGGGGGTTGGAGCACATGAAAATGGGTGGGGGCGGGGGGGGGGGTGTTAAGAGAGGTGAGGAGAGGAGGGTGGGAAAAAGAAAAGGGAAGGGGAAGCGATGAGGTCCAGCTGTAGCACTCGGTTCTTCCAGTCCTTACCTTGGTGCACCGTGCGCGCATTCAATGCTTCCAGCCATCGCTACAACATGGGATGGAGCACACACTCACCAAGGGTCAATGTGACGAAATCCAGCTGTAGCACTCGGTTCTTCTGATCCTCACCTTGGTGCAATGGGAAGAGGAAAGGGGGGGCATACTCACCGAGGGTGAATGCGATGAGGTCCAGCTGCAGCACTCGGTTCTTCCGATCCTTCAATTGCTCTGCACTCGCATGCACCCATGCACATGCCAGAGAGACGAGCCACAAAACCACATGTCGTTTTTCAGATGATGCGTTCAAACTTCATGTGGCCGACACACATGGCACACGGCACACAACACAGAGCGCAGAGCGCAGAGCGCAGAGCGCAGAGCACAGAGCGCAGAGCACAGAGCGCAGAGCACAGAGCGCAGAGCACAGAGCGCAGAGCACAGAGCGCAGAGCACAGAGCACAGAGCACATATGCACACACGACGCTCATGTCACTTTTGTGAACTCTCACAAGTGATACAAAAATGGTCACACCTTCATCTGTGTCTTGATCTGCAACCGAGCCCCCTGCTGCCCCTGCGAGCAGCGACAGCCGGTGATCCAGATTGTCCCTCCCACTGTGCCGCCCCCAGGAGTGCCAGCGCCAACAGCACGCAGTGCACGGCACACAGTGAACAGCACACAACTCCTACCTTCGTCTGCATCTTCCGCTGCAGTCGAGCCGCTTGCTGCCCCTGCGAGCAGCGACAGCCTGTGATCCAGACTGTCCCACTGTGCCGCCCCCAGGAGAGCCAGTGCTCGCCGAAAAAGACCCTGGTGGGCACAGGTGAAAGAAGGTGGAGCAAGGTGGAACAAGTAGAAATAGGGACGGCTTGCATCTTCCACCTTCTCAGGCTGAAACTCTATACGGGATGGGTGGATAAACCAGCAACCATGGTTAGGGCATAGAACAGATGATGCCATGGCTAGGGCATAGAACAGATGATGCCATGGCTAGGGCATAGAACAGATGATGCCATGGCTAGGGCATAGAACAGATGATGCCATGGCTAGGGCATAGAACAGATGATGCCATGGCTAGGGCATAGAACAGATGATGCCATGGCTAGGGCATAGAACAGATGATGCCATGGCTAGGGCATAGAACAGATGGTGCCATGGCTAGGGCATAGAACAGATGATGCCATGGCTAGGGCATAGAACAGATGATGCCATGGCTAGGGCATAGAACAGATGATGCCATGGCTAGGGCATAAAACAGTTGATGCAAGCGCATCCCAAGCTTGCCACAGACCTCAGCAATCATGCCCTCCCCCGTGTGCTGCAGCCTGCCTCTCTGGGCATACGAGTCCCCCAGCAGAGCCAGCACAGGTGCAGCAATTAGCATGCAATTTACCCTATGCACACCCACGGCACATGATGCGAACCGTCCGGTGCTACCAGTACATACCTCAGCAATCATTCCCTCCCCCGTGTGCTGCAGCCTGCCTCTTTGAGCGTATGTGTCGCCCAGCAGGGAAAGCACGGCTCCCATCATTGGGTTGAAATCTGAGCTATCTGGCGTGGTGGGGGCACGGTGTTGGAGGGGTAAGGGCGCGGAAAGGAGGTCAGGTGGTGGTGTGACTGAAATGGTGGTGATGGTCGCAGGTGTGTGAGCCAGCAGAGACAACACGGCTCCCATCATTGGGTTGAAATCTGAGTTATCTGCCATGGTAATGGCACGGTGTGATACAAATGGCGGTGATGGTGTATGTGTGTGTGCGTTAGCAGATGCGAGACTACTCGGCTTCCGCCACTGGGTGAGTATGAGCGATAGGCGCATGGAGGGGAAATGGTGGTGTGGTTGAGATGACGGTATGATTGACTAGCAGGAGGGAGAAGAGGTGGAATGGGGGAGGGAAAGATGGGACAGGGGGGAGGGGGTACGGGAAATGTGTGAAAGGGCAATAAGAGACAACCGAATCAATGCAGGGTGGTGAGGCAGGGAGGGAGTTACCATCCAAGGCCTCTGCCTCTTTGAGAGGGTAAGAGAAAGGGACGAGTGGAAGGGCAGTAAGGGAGGGTTAAAGTGGAGTGGTGAGGCAGGGAGGAATTACCATCCATGGCCTCTGCCTCTTTGAGAGCTGTTGTGAATTGCTCCTCTGCTGCCTTGAAATCGCTGCTCAGACCAAAAATATGAGCAGAAGAGAACAGCAGACACTCAGGAAAGTAAATGGAGCTGGGAAGAAGGCAGGCAGAGAGGGCAGGTGAGCAGAACGCAAGGGAGCGAAGCCGAGTGCAATAGGAAGGGAAAAGGAGGTGTGGTAGGGCTGTTTAAGTCGACCAGAAATTTGGCCGGGAGAGCCAAGTCTAAAGGGACTTAAACAGCAATGAGAAGTCTAAAGGGACTTAAACAGCAATGAGAAGTGTAAAGGGACTTAAACAGCAATGAGAAGTGTCAAGGGACTTAAACAGCAATGAGAAGTGTCAAGGGGAGCTGGGCGAAGCTTCAATCAGCAGCACCGGACACCGTTGTGTTGCACGGACTCACCTTGTCCCGCTTGTGTGAGCACCCCACAAGAATCAATAGTCCCACCCAACCCACCCACCCACCCCACCCCACCCCACCACGCACCCATCCGCCAACCCTTGCAGAACCCCACTTCCTGCTACACCCAAATCTGAGACCAAGAGCGCCTACCCTTGCTGCAGCAGCAGCTGCCCCCGGCCTGATAGCGCCCCCACGCGTTCCGCTGCCCCCGCACGCAAAGAGGGCGAGAGGGACGACGCGGTGGGTGATGGGGATGCGATGGAAGGAGAGGAGGGAGAGGAGGAGGAAGAGGGGGGTGAGGAGGAAGGAGGAGAAGGTGGCGAGGAACATTGGATAAGCTGCGAGTAGTATGACGTGGCTTGCTCCCATTGGCCGACAGAGTGCAGGTGTAGCGCCATTGCCAGGCGGGCGAGCCCTGTGGTTGGCACCGAGTTGCAGTCGGGCGGCTCGAGCTCGTCTGCTTCCTGAAAGTGCTCCCGAGCTGGGCGGCAGGAGTATGGGTGGCAGAGAACGGAGGGGACACAGAAGAAAAAGGTGACCACAAGTGCAACAAATTACACAAGAGATAGGGGATTATTTAAATTTAAAAAGCCACCTTTCCTAGCAACGGTTACCAGCAGGTCCATGACGCAGTTACCAGTGGCAATGTGGCCACACAGCTGCTCCACCAGCCTCACAGTCAGAGCACTACATTACCAGCACCACTGCTGCACGGTCACAAGCAGTGGGAACAGTAACACGGTTACCAGCAGCACAGCTAGAGCATTACCAGTGGCAATATGGCCGCACAGCTGCTCCACGAGCCCCACGGAGCAGAGCACTCGGAAACGCAGGAATGCCAGCCCTGGTGGTGCTGCTGACGCTGATGATGGTGCAGGTGAGGATGATGATGATGGTGATGATGGGGATGGTGGTGATGCTGATGGGGCGGGTGTTGGTGGTTGCAGCAATGCAGCGGCCCTCCCAGCAGACTCCATGGCATGTGCATCCTGGTGAGACGGGGGAGAGGGGAGACGTGAGAGAAGGGAGAGAGGGGAGAGAGGCAGAAAGAACGAGGGAAAGGGAGGTGCATTTAAAAAATAAGTTGAAATGAAGCAGGTTCTCACCACAGTTCTAACTAACTTGACCTATAAGAATTGAGAAACGAGACAAGACGAAAGGAGCTGATGATTTTGTATAAAGGAAACGAAGGAAGAGCACCACCACCACCTCTTTTCTAATACATGTGCAGGCAGGACGATTCACACAGCACACCACCACACACTACGTTGCACCACTCACTGCACAACCTCGTCACAAGCTACAATCACTTGTATGAAACGAATCGGGCTTCGTTACAAGCGCACTCACTGCGTGGCCGCTGAGGTGGATCCGCACCACCTCCTCCAACGCCCCAACTGCCACATGGCAAGCAATGATTCGCTGATCATAATTAAAAGAGCAAGTTGAAATCACGACATATCATCCAAGCTGCACAAATAGCAGGCGTAGAATGAAAATTTTATAACCATGCTGGGTCATTCATAACCGTGCTGTGCAGGACATACTACTAGCACAAGTGGCCAAGGCTGCAGAAGAAAACGATCCTGCGGCCATAGCCGTGGCCATACAGGAGGTTCAGAACTTCAGATGCAGCTGGCACCAGGCAAGGTGAGTTGTTCATGGCACATTGCCTGACATTAGCGGCTTTTGAATTTTCCCTGTGGCCACGGCTATACCACTGGGTTGCTTGCCCTTGCGGCCTTGGCCACTTGCACCAGTGTGACCTGCATGCACACCACGCACAGGAATGGCCACTTGCACCAGTGTGACCTGCATGCACACCACGCACAGGAATGGCCACTTGCACCAGTGTACACGCCACAGCCCATACATCATACACGCCACAGCCCATACATCATACACGCCACAGCCCATACATGCCCGCCCTACCTTCCATCTCATCCCACCCTTCACCTACGCACCCAGCTCTCCCACCCCACCCCAGCGGCTCTCCCCACGCCCCTCCCCCCACGCATTTCCCCCATGCCCCGCCGCTCACAACCCTCTCCCCACGCAACCCCCTCACGCCCCGCCCCCCACGCCCCTACCCCTACGCCCTCTTCCCCCACGCCACGCCCTCTCTCTCTCTCCCCATGCCGTGCCCACCTCTGTCGCACAGCCCTGCATCCCCCATCGCTGCCACCTCCTCCAACGCCTCCACTGCTCCCGTGCTATCATGGCTGTGGGGGCCGAGAGCATGGACAAGCGAGTGCAGAGGCGGGCGGCCAGCGGGATGAGGCGTCAAGGGAAAGGGGGCGGAGGAAGGGGTGCGGGGTCAGCGGCCCGAGAGAAAGGGTTCGGGGGAAGGAGTGCGGGGCAAGGGGTGCGGGGGAAGTTGTGCGGGGGAAGGGGCGCAGGAAAGGAGCGTAGGAGGAGGGGCGTATAAGCAAACACACACTCTCAGGTGCAGCACGGCCGTAAAGCACACCAGAGCCGCTGGGCTGCTCTAAGAGTCGACTCAAAACCAAACCCCCAGTCCGGGCCAGTTTATGAGTGAACGTACACTCTGAAGTGCAGAGCGGCTTGAAACAGAGCAACCGCGCTGCCCTTTCTGCCTACTCTCTCACACAAATCACCCCAAACCATTCTGAGAGCCTGAGAGCCCAAACCCCAGACCAGACCAGCTTATGAGCGAACGTACACTCTGAGGTGCAGCGCCGCCTTGAAGCGCAGCAACCGCGCTGCCCTTACTCACACAAGTCGCCCTGAGAGCCTGAGAACCCAAACCCCAGACCAGCTTAGTAGCAGACGTACACTCTGAGGTGCAGTGCCGCCTTGAAGCAGCGGAGCAGCCGCGCTGCCCGCATGGTCGACTCGAATGTCGAATCCCCAAACAGCCCAGTTCAGTCCCCCTCAAAATTCAAGTCCCGAACCAAACCCTCAGGACGGCGAACGTACACTCTGAGGTGCAGCGCAGCCTTGAAGCGCAGCAGCCGCGCTGCCTGCGACGCTGCTGCCTGCCCGCCCTGCGCCCTCAGCATGCTCGCCCCGTGCTCCACCACCCTCAGCGCCTCCTGTGCCGCTGCTGCTGCACACAAATGAGTGGAAACGAGCAGATGGAGATCATCAAGGGCAGGAATCAGAACGCAGCTACACACACCACTCCCCCACCTATCTCTCCCCCAATGCTCCTACTGCCCTGCCTTAACCTGCCATGGTCAAGACACAGCAGATGAGCCGAGCAGAGGGATTTCCTGAAACAGGGAAGGGAAGACAAGGCGACACGGCAACAAGGCAAGGCAGACAAGCAGAGCAGAGGGATCCCTAAACCTCTGAAGCACACATTTTCTTACCGTCGTCTGTCCCTTCCCTCGCGAGACACGTATGCGCGAATGCAATCATGTCATCCGCGAGACACGTGCTGCCAGGCAGGCTCGTGAGGCGCGGAGCAGAGCAGACATGATCCCTCGACCTCTGAAGCTCATCCTGACTCACTCACCATCATCTGATCCTTCCCTCGCCAGGCACGTCTGCGCGAACGCAATCATCTCATCCGCGAGACTCCGTTGTGACCCGCCTCCTGCCGCTTCCGCGTCATCCCCGCTACTCGCTGCTCCTTCCGCGACATCCCCGCTGAAAGCTGCTCCGCTACGCACAGCTGGAGCCGCTGCACCCGCAGAGCTGGCAAAACCAGTCGGGACTGCGGAAAGACGGGAAGCGGAGGCGAAACTTCTCGCCCCCTTTGTAGGTAACTCGTTAAGAGCACTGCGATGGCCGGTTGTGAGTGGAACAAGCGGAGCGCACGCCTGGTGCGGTGGAAGCGGATTAGCAGCTAATCTAGCCGGCGAGGGCGACTGCTTGCCGATGAAAGGAATTTGCCCATCAGATCTGACGGCGCAGGCAACCAGCCGCTGGGCGAGATCCGTTCCAGGATCGAGAGTGGCGTGAGCGGGTAACAGGCTGTTACTTCCTGAAATAATTTCAGCAGCATGTGACGATCGGCCCAAGGGTGCCGAAGATTCGTGACAATCGGCGCTGGTGCTCTGCTGATTCCAGGCATGCGCGGTCCCGTCATGGTTGCTGCAATTGTGAAGGCACGACGAGAGGATCGCGTAGAACGGTGACGGTAACGAGGGATTTGACTGTATCAGAAGCAGCCGGCTGGCAGATTTGGCGGTCGAGCGCGAAACTGCCGCTGCTGGAACCATGATTCGAGCTGTTACGCTCCAAGACCACGTGGCTATTGGAAACTCTACGGCTCAGAGCGCGAAGCGCTCACGTCGCTTCGAGACGAATCACTAGTTTACGAGAAAAGTCGACCTAGCGAAGCTCACGCACGAAATGCCTCATGAGCTCTGACGCTGAAATTCCTCTTGAAAGTGTCAACGTTTTCCTTCGAGATATTGGCTGCTGCGGTTGTTGCTTATGAGCCTCGGGCTGCGGAGACTGTAAGATGATTCGTTATTGGTCAGAACTCTGCATGTTTGTAGAGTATTTTTAAAGTACACCAGCCTCGAAAAAATGAGGAATCAATCTTCCACCCTTTGTGGAAGCATCGGAAAAGTCCTTGCGGCCACCAGAAGTGGTGACGTGGCAGTTGCGTGCTGGTTTGGAAGCGAATCGAACCTTCTGGGCCGCAAAAATGTGACGCAAATTTCTGATTCCCGTATAGAATCATCCACCTACAGTAACAAATCTGGTGCGTATAACGAAAGCCCCTTGGTTCGCCTCGTTCCAACTCTCCTTGCCCTATGGGCCATGGCTCCCCTGCTCCTAGTTAGTCGAATTCATCAGTCGGATTTGCTCATTTGCTGTGTGTTCAGCCTGATCGTCGGCTTTCTCGTTCCACCTCTCGCTCCAGCGTTCTCGTTGCAGCGTCTCTGCCAGTCTCTGGTCTGAAGACTCTTCCTGGCCAGTGCTTCTTGCCCTTGAACACCTGTTAGCTCTTCCAGATCGACTTAACCTCTTATCAGTATTCGCCTAATCGTGTCCGTTCATTCTAAACATTTTCGATCCAACGTCCATTCCGCTTCCCATCCTAGTCTCCTCTCCACGTGTCGGATCCGATCGTTCTCGTGTCGATCAGGCGAATCTGGTATCTAGGGGTTTCGGATCAGCGCTGCAGCCATGTTCAGGAGCTTGTTGCGAGTGTCGCCGGCGGTTCGGGCTGCTGCAGCCCGATCGTCGACCAATAATGGGAGCGCCAGCCACAGGTACGACTGCAGTTGTTCGAAACCACTAAACGACTGCGTGTGATCAAGACACTGAAATGAAACATTGGATCGAGGCTTTGAGACTTCGCGAACGATCTAGTATCGTTCGGGATCCCAGCGGCCTCATTACTTCCAACAACAGTGGTTTCAGAATCATGACTAGCCTGTCGCTCGGCTCCATGGCACCAGGCCCGTCCATGAACCCGCGTACGCCCTGGTGTTACTAGGCATATTCATCTCTAGACATGTCCGTGACCAGATATGCCCATGAGTAGGCATTCGCTTTTGGCTCGCTGGTTTTTCTTATCCATGGCAACGTGCATGAATCTACGCGTTTGATCTCGCTAAACTATCTGATCGCTGATCGCTCTGACTGTCCTGACGTCTCTTATTTAGAACGTAAAGCCCGTCCAGATGTCTCTCTCGCCGTTGCTTGTGCTCTTCATCGCTCGTTCCTGATGGTTGTAAGAGAGATCCGAAGTCTCCGTTCCTCTGTTTCCCGTGCGGGTATGCGTGCACTTCTTAAACATGCTGTTCGGCGACGATGCCATCGGCGCTGCTGACGGTGCGATCGATCAACCGACCGTGATGGATTCTCGTGCAACACGCGGGCGACGCGGTTTTTTTTTCCCTCCATCACGATCGTGCCTGCAACGAGCAGAGTCGCTCAGGTACGGGTGCTTCGGCAGCACACACCCGCTTCTCCCTCGTCATCCCCCCCCTTTCAATCACCCGTTTCCCCGTACAATCACACATCCACCCGTTCCCTTGTACAATTACACCCCACCCTTCTACACAATCACACTCCCCTCCCCCTCTCACCCCCCCCCCCCCCCCCCCCCCCCCTCCTTTCTCCCTCTCTAATAGTAACACACCCCTGCCCGGAATGGTCCATTTTCATTCTCCTCCTGTGACACATCTGTGACGTTCCCCTCCCTCCCTCCCTCCCTCCCTCCCTCCCCCCCTCTCCACTCGTGCCTCGGCGCGCAGCACCAATGGCAGCGCGGGTTCGCGGCGAAGGACATCCGGTTCGGCGTGGAGGCGCGGGCCGCCATGCTGCAAGGCGTGGAGCAACTCGCTGATGCCGTGCGGGTTACCATGGGACCCAAGGTACGGCAGGGATGTGCTTACATCGCACGGGCCTGTGCCCTATGGTAGATGCGGTTACGGTAGCAGTCACGTGTGAGTCGAGTCGACTGAGAGTGCCTTGGGCGTGGAGCAACTGGGCGACGCCATGCGGGTCACCATGGGGCCCAAGGCACATGCCATGCCAATGTCATTACAAGGTTATCAACTCAAGGCACATGCCATGCCAATGTCATTACAAGGTTATCAACTCAAGGTACAATGGCGATGTGCTCACATGGGCCTATGATAGATAGATGATAGACATGCTGAAGATCCTCGGCGCTAGCCTCGTGAAGCAGGTCGCCTCCACCACCAACGACACCGCGGGCGACGGCATCCCCACTAACCGCCCTTCCCCCTCTCCCCTTGCGCTGTCCCCTTGTGCTTTCCCCATGTCCCCTCCTCTCCCTTCCTCTCCCACTCTCCCCCCACTTCCCTGCCCACCTCCCTCCACCCTTCACCCCCCAGGGGCGGCAAGTGGTGATAGAGCAGTCGTACGGCTCACCCAAGATCACCAAGGACGGGGTGACGGTGGCGAGGAGCATCGAGTTCAAGGACAAGCTCAAGAACCTCGGCGCCAGCCTCGTCAAGCAGGTCGCGTCCACCACCAACGACACCGCGGGCGACGGCACCACGTGCGCGACGGTGCTCACGCGCTCCATTCTGCTCGAGGGGTGCAAGTCCGTGGCCGCGGGCATGAACGCCATGGACTTGCGGAGAGGGATCTCGCTGGCCGTGGAGCGCGTGATTGAGCTGCTCAAGGAGCGATCCAGGCGGATCAGCACTTCGGAGGAGATCGCCCAGGTGGGTTACTGTTGGGTCAAAGGGGGGAATTGAGGGTCGTGAGCTGTGAAGTGACGGCTGGTCGGGGGGATGTATGGGGGTTTGACACCTTGGAATTTGAGGCGGGAGATTTCGATGGCTGTGGAGCGGGTGATTGAGCTGCTCAAGGAGCGATCCCAGCGGACCAGCACGTCGGAAGAGATCGCCCAGGTGGGACGCGTGGCTTGTAGATTTTCCTACTCGGAGTTTCAGATGGAGAAGTGGTGTTGTGTTGTAAGAGAGGTCCGAAGGAATGCCGCATCTCCTCATCCCGCTCCTATCCCGTCCTTGCTCTCCCCTTGTCCTCTGCCAGGTCGGCACCATCTCGGCCAATGGCGAGAGGGAGATTGGAGATTTGATTGCGCGGGCCATGGAGAAGGTCGGCAAGGAGGGCGTCATCACTGTCGCGGTGAGTGCTGCTCTTAGTTTTGCCACTTCTTTTAGCAAAGTATTTGGCGTGGTGCTTGCTGCTCAGGTTTCCACTGGTGAGGTCTGGTTGCATGTGCGATGGAAGCAGCTGACAAAGGGTGTCATGACTGCTTTTAGCTAAGCCCTGTCTTTATATGGTGCTGATTTCTTGATTCTCCACCACCTAATGGGTTTGTCTACTGACTATTTTTCAACATGTACGTTTACTGGCTCAATTGCAACAGGATGGCAAGACACTCTATAACGAGTTGGAGGTGGTGGAGGGAATGAAGTTCGACCGTGGCTACATCTCGCCCTACTTTATCACCAACCCCAAGACGCAGAAATGCGTGAGTTCTGCTCTGTCATCCGATTCAATACGAGAGGTCAAGGGTTTTGGAGTGTCGGGGTTTGGGGTTTCGGGGTTTCAAGGGTTTTGAAACCCCTTTTGTCTCACATACACATTTCTCTCTCCTTTCCGCGCCCTTCTCCCCTCCTCGCCCTTCTCCCCTCCTCGCCGTCCGCCGCTCCGCTCTGCCCCCCTCCTCCCCTTCACAGGAGCTAGAGAACCCCTTGGTGCTGGTGCATGAGAAGAAGATCGCGGGTCTCAGCTCCATTCTGCCCGTCCTCGAAATCGCCCTCAAGGTAACACTGCTCTCCCCCCTCCCTTCCTGCTCCCCCCTTCTGCCCCCTCTCCCTGCCCCGTCGTCGCCCCTGGTTCCCTCCCTCCACTGCTGCCCCGCCGCCACTGCCACCATTACCACCACCACTCTCACCGCCTCCGCCACTGCCACCATTACCACCACCTCCCACCTCTTATAACCATTGCCAACTCCAATGCCTCCGTCCTCCTTCCCTTAATTTCCCTACAAACAGTACCAGCGCCCGCTGCTGATCATTGCAGAGGACGTGGAGAGCGAGGCATTGGCGACGCTGGTGGTGAACAAGCTGCGGGCGGGGCTCAAGGTGAGGTGATGTGATGTGATGTGATGTGATGTGATGTGATGTGATGTGATGTGAGAGCTAGCAGGAGGAAGTCATAGGCTTCAGAGGAGAGGCGAATGGGTTGTAGGCTTAGATGTGATCGGCAGGGCGAGGCGATTTTTGAGGCGCCTCAAAAATTGAAGCCATAGGCTTCAGAGGAGAGGTGAATGGATTGTGGGCTTAGATGTGACCGGCAGGGCGAGGCTCTGGCGATGCTAGTGATTGAAGAAGTGTTTTGAGACGTCTCAAAACACTTCTTCAATCAGGTGAATGGGTGACTTATGAGTCGACTCAAAAGTCATCAGGTGAATGGGTTGTAGGCTTAGATGTGACCGGCAGGGCGAGGCTCTGGCGATGCTAGTGGTGAACAGGGCAGGGCTCACTCAAGGTGAGATAAATGCCTGTGTTTGGGCTGGGCTGAGTCTGGGTTTCTGAGGGTTTCGTGGTTGGCGTTGATGCATCTGTGTGTTTGCACCTGCGCAAGGGTGCTGAGGACTTTGGTGCTGGGGGGGCTCGGGGTTGGAGGATTTGGTGACTTTTGAGTCGTCTCAAAAGTCACCTTGGTGATGAGGAGTTTGATGCTGGGGGGCTCGGGGTTGGAGGATTTGGGGTAATCTGTTCAGTTCGGGAAGAAAAGATTTAGAGAAAGCAGACAAATGGCATCCAACAAACGAAGATGGATTCTTGTTTGCTTCTCCCTCTTTGCCTCTCTGTCGCCGTGCGTGCGCTGCGTGCGTGCCTGCTGCTTCCCATCTGGCAGGTGTGTGCAGTGAAGGCGCCCGGGTTCGGCGAGAACAGGAAGAACAACATGATTGACATCGCCACGCTCACTGGCTCCCAGGTACTTTGCATCTGGACAACCTGGCCACACCCATTCTGAGTCCACTCAAAGAACAGGAAGAACAACATGATTGACATCGCCACACTCACTGGCTCCCAGGTACGTTGCACCGTGACACCCCCCTCCCTCTCACACACCGTTTCCTTCACTCTGTGTTCTCGGACGCCTCTCCTCCACCTCCTCCCCGTTTCCTCCTCTCCTTCCCTCCCCCTCCTTCCAACCCAACCGAATTCATTCAAAATTTCCGGCCTGCCAGCAAGCATCAGGAGTGTGTTTTCATTTCCTTTCTAACCCCGCTCCCCCTCCATTTCCCCTTCCCGTCCAAGAATTTACCCTTGCAGCTGATCAGCGAGGACTTGGGGTATTCGTTGGAGAAGGTGGACGTGTCTCATCCTCGTTCTCCCTCACACGCACACGGTCACTCACGCTCTCCCTGCTCCCCCCCTTTCCCCGTCCCTCTATCTGCCCCTGCAGCTGATTAGCGAGGACCTGGGGTATTCATTGGAGAAGGTGGACGTGTCACACCTGGGGTCTGCCAAGAAGGTGAGGGGGTGGTTGGGTGTGGGTCTATGTGTGGCGGGGGGGAGGGGGTGGAAGGGTCGGGGGAGGGGAGACGAGGGGGAAGGTGTGTGCGCATGTTCGTGTGAGAGGTGAGTCGGTTTTTGAGTTGACTCAAAAACCGTGTCATCACGTGAGGACCTGGGGTACTCGTTGGAGAAGGTGGACGTGTCTCACCTGGGGTCCGTCAAGAAGTTGAGGGGGTGGTTCTGTGTGCGTCTGTCTGGGGGAGAAGAGGAGGGGGTATGTGTGTCTGTATGCTCGTGGGTGTGAGAGGTGAGGCCTGGGGTGTTCATTGGAAGAGGTGGACGCGTCTCACCTGGGGTCCGCCAAGAGGTGGTACTGTGTGTGCATAGGTTCGCTCATGGGGTTAACTTCTGCAGGGCTCTTTGCGTCTATGGAGTATGTTCGTGTATGTAGGGCTCATTCAATTTGTGTGGCTGTGTGTGTGCGTGTGGCTGTGTGTGTCTGCCATCAGGTGACGATATCAAAGGACGACAGCATTATTCTGGATGGAGCTGGCGACAAGAAGGCCCTGGAGGAGCGGTGCGAGCAGGTGAGGAGCGGTGCGAGCAGGTAAGAAGGAACTCACAGCTACGTCATGGTGAGATGCGTTCAGTGTGAATAGCACGCCATGCCATGCCCCTCACCTCTCCCCATTCCACCCACTTCCCTGTCGTGTTTCTGTTCCGAGTTTCAGATCCGTGAGGCTGTAGCCAACGCCACGTCGGACTACGACAAGGAGAAGCCGCAGGAGCGCCCTCTTCCCACACTCACAGCATACACACCCCCTGACCCACATTCCTCCCGTTGCCCTTTCGCCTTCGCTGCTCCTCGTCTTTCAGATCCGAGAGGCAGTGGCCAACGCCACGTCCGACTATGACAAGGAAAAGCTGCAGGAGCGCCTGGCGAAGCTGTCTGGCGGTGTGGCTGTGCTCAAGGTGGGCGGACATGTGGGTGCTGAGTGGTGCTGAGTGGTGGTGGCAGGTGCTGGGTGATTGGTGCTGGCCGGCTGTGGTGAGCAGAGTGGGTTGTTGAGAGGGACTTCGCACCATATACAGCTGCAGGGAGCGTGTGGTGAAGCTGTCTGGTGGTGTGGCCGTGCTTAAGGTGGGTGGGCATGTGGGTGCTGAGTGGTGCTGGGTGGTGCTGATCACCACACGCCGTCTTTCCTCGTGCCTGCAGATGGGTGGCGCCAGCGAGGTAGAGGTGGGGGAGAAGAAGGATCGGATGACGGGCGCACTGAACCCCTTTCGCCTTGAAGCCCAACACTAACTAGCTTCTTCCTTTCCCATGCCCCTCTTCTCTTACCCACGTGCGTGCAGATCGGCGGTGCGAGCGAGGTGGAGGTGGGGGAGAAGAAGGATCGGGTGACGGACGCTCTGAACGCCACCAAGGCCGCCGTGGAGGAGGGCATCGTGCCGGGCGGCGGTGTGGCTCTGCTCTACGCCTCCAGGGACCTTGACACCCTCACTGCGGAGAATTTCGACCAGAAAGTGGGCATCCAGATCATCAGAGACGCCCTCAGGGTGAGTAAACGTCCCTCTCCTTGAAAGGCTCACCCCCCCCCCCCCCCCCCCCCATGGTGTGGCTCAGCAGTGAGCGTGTCGAGATCCCTGGACACGTTGAGCACGCTCACCCTGGACCCTGGACGTTCACTCACCCTGAGCGTCTCTGATGATCTGAATGCCTCCTTGAGCGTCCAGGGATCAGGGACGCTCAGGGTGAGTGAACGTCCCGTCCGGTGATTGTCTTGCACTATCGGCTTTGCTATATGCCTCTCAGGATCTTGAAAAGATTACACTCTGCTGACTCCAACCTCTGTGTTCCCCTTTCCTCCACCACGACCCCTCCCATCCCACCGCTCCATTGCCTCCTCCCTCCCCATCCCATCAGACGCCAGCGCTGACCATTGCGAACAACGCAGGGGTGGAGGGGGCGGTGATCGTGGGCAAGCTGCTGGAGCAGACCAACCTCGACTGGGGCTACGATGCTGCCAAGGGTGTGTATGAGCTACGGCTGCTTGGGTTGAAGGGCTGGCTCGGGCTGCTCGGATTCCTGAGTGACTGCAGTTGTTGGGCCGGGTGCAAGTTGTGTTTTTTAGTTGACTCAAAAGCTTGGCTCGGGCTGCTCGGATTCGTGAGGGACTGCAGCTGTTGGGTGCAAGTTGGGGGCGGCTGCAGGCAAGCTGCTGCAGCATAGCAACCTCAGCAGGGGCCATGGCGACGCCAAGGATGACTGTGCACACAGTTGGGTGCTAACTGTGGGGTGCTGTGGGATGCTGTGGGGTGCTGTGGGGTGCTGTGGGGTGCTGTGGGCAAGGTCATTCGCACGGCGCTGGTGGACGCTGCCAGTGTGCCGTCCCTCATCACCACCACCGAGGCTGTTGTCATCAGTCGCGACTCATACAATGACATCCACCTCCACATCCACATCCACATCCACCTCCACATCCACATCCACATCCACATCCACATCCACATCCACATCCACATCCACATCCACATCCACATCCACATCCACAAACACACCCACATGCACATCCACATGCACATCCACATGCACATCCACAGCCTTGCCTCACCCATGTGTTCTCAACCGTCCTCTTTTCTCTCCCTTCTCTTTACCACTATCCCCCCCCCTTTTCCCAACCCCTCCCTTATCCATTCCCCTCCCCCCCTCTCTGCTCCCCCCTCTCCCCCCCCCACCACCAGGCGAGTACGTGGACATGATGAAGGCAGGTATCATCGATCCGGTCAAGGTGATCCGAGCTGGACGGACCCACCTCTTCCGAATGTCCCTTTCTCTTGCCCTCCACCCCGCCCACACCCCCCCTCCCTTCACCACTCCCCCACCAGGCGAGTATGTGGACATGGTGAAGGCGGGCATCATTGATCCTCTCAAGGTAATCCGCACGGCGCTCGTGGATGCGGCCAGTGTGGCGTCCCTCATGACCACCACCGAGGCTGTTGTCGTTGACCTTCCGGAAGACCCCAAGCCCAGCCCCATGGGTGGCATGGGCGGCATGGGTGGCATGGGCGGCATGGACTACTAGATTTGATTTTCTACTTGGTGCTGCTGGTATCATCACTCAGGTGGCGGTGGGTGGGCTTTGAGACTAAGGCCTAATTAGGTGGTGGTTTGGGATTGAGTGGTATTGTATACGAGAATGGTTCATGACAAGCAGTGTGTTGTGCTTAGGAGTTTAAAGCGACTGCACTTTGCAGGGTAGGATTTCCTGTAGATGTGCACTTACCGTAGCTGTGCCCTGCCCTTAGTTGGGTAGGGAGAAGCTCGGCTCCAAGAGGATGAATACCTCTTGTTTATAAGAAGTGCAAAATCAAGTGGATGGAATCCAGGTTCAGCGTTTGATATATGGATTTGTTAAAGACCTTAAGCAATCTGATTGAGATGATTTGGGTTAGTTGTTAAACTAAGTACCAATAGATAATTTGTGAGGGTTTGGTTTTGGACTATGCGCATTATAATTATTCGTCCACTCACCACTTCGAACCGCTCTGATGTGCGTTCAGCAACATAACCAGTGGTGCTGAACTGAATCTTCAAAACAACCGTTCTGATATGCACCTCATCCAATCAGAGCCCCGTCGTGCGACTCGATCGTTATTTTTGCGGGGCAATTTGCCAATATTTCATGTAGCGGGCAACTCAAATGCTTGGTGGTGACCGTGTCAGGGGGAATTGCAGCTGTCAGACCTTTGGCCAAGGCAACATCGCAGAAACAACCACCCACTTTGTTTCGCCTTCCGGGCCAGCTGGAGTTTTCCTCCCACGCTCTTCAGGTCATTGGGGCAATCCAGCCAGCTCTCCTCGATGCGAATCGGGCCAGACGAGCCGTCTGGTTACCAGCATTTCGGCCGGCCAATCCCTGCTTGAATTCATCCACATGCACCGCGATTCGTGTACCCATACGAAATGATTCCTGTGTTAGCCTGCCCGGGTCCAAGTCTCCAAGGCAACGTCCTGGCTTTGTGCGACAGTGAAGCACAGTTCGCCACATCTGACACCAAGAGAAGCGTCGCAGAGGTTTCAACGAAGCCATTCCCGCCTGTCGCAAAGCGATCGCAGGGCTACTTAGCGCTGCGCCAGCTGGTCAAGCCCCCCCACCTTGCGAAGGTGGAAAACCCCATCTACCAGCAAATCGTGTGGAGTGGAACTATCAGCGAGCCGCGCATTCGGCAACGGCATTTCACACTCACATTTGTTCAGCTCAACTCGACGCGAGCCTCCAAGTCTGTTCCAGGCGTACCTGAATCACGCTATTGCACCTTCATCCCACTAGCCCTCATCAACTAGCGACCGGTCTTAGTGGGCGTCCCATTCAACCATTTTTTCAACCAGCTTACCCTCCGCTCTGGGATTCGAAGCCCTTGAACCAGCGCCATTCCACTCGATATCTTAGCGGACGATAGCGACACGCGTACGATCAACGCTAACTTTCATTCAAGAATATTACTTTCTTAGAAGGGTGGCAACGAGTGACGCGCGAAGAACAAAAGCACGGGAGAACGTCATAGAAAGGTGGAATCAAACTAACGGTCAAATTTCAACACGACGGCATGGCAGCACGTTGCGTACGAATGTTGGAGCTACTTTCGCACGTTCGGATGCTCACTGTAGCATTCGCAATCGTGGCGCTCTCGACTGTTACAGAATCAGCCTCTTACGGCGACACGGGACGAGCAACAGCCACCTTTTATGGCAGCGGCGACGGTGAGATTTCTATTTTTATTATTTCTCGGTCCCAAATCACAACTAACGAACCGCAACGCAGTTACGACAGCACGCTCATCTCACTTTCGTGCAACTTTCTTCTCTTGCCACCTTGATACATTGTAACTTGTTTCGCTCACTCGCATCTCAAATCCCTTCCAATGACGTGCTGACAGGTGGCAATTGCGGATACGGCGTCCTTGCGGAATCCGGCTACGGCCCGCTCATCGCGGCGGGAAGCGCGCCGCTTTACAAGGGTGGGAAAGGCTGCGGCGCGTGCTACAAGTAAGCCACGACTGCTCTCTCCGTAGACTAACCCTCCCTTGAGTAAAAATCATGTTACTTCCCCCTCAGCACAGTCGCCCCATAATTCCCCGCTTTTCCCTCCCCCCTCCGCCCTCCCTCCTCTCTCCGAGACTGGTGCGTAGACATCTAGTCATACAAGAATACACCCATAATGGTGGTGCCCATAAACCCTCATTTGAACAACCCCCCCTCTCCCTACTTTCTGCTTCTCTATCTCCGCCGCAGGCTGCGCTGTGTGGACAGCCAGTGGTGCAAGGACGCGGAGATCACGGTACCCATAGTCCCTCATACCCCTTCTCCTTCCCCACCCACCCCCTCCCCCCTTTCTACTCTGCTCTCTCCTCCGCCGCAGGGTGCGCTGCGTGGACAGCCAGTGGTGCAAGGATGCTGAGATCACGGTACCCATCACAGATTTTTGTCCGGGCGGCGGAGTGTGCTGCGCCACGTGCACGCACTTCGACCTCAGCCAGCCCGCGTTCGGCATCATCGCAGACCCCGTCGCGGGAGTCATTCCGCTCGCCTACCAGAGGTGAGCGCGCATGGCGTCAGTCTCCGGTAGTCTTCGTCAGTGTCCGTCACTCTTCCGTCACTCTCCGTTGGTGTCCGTCCGTCAGTCCGCCAGCCCGCATTTGGCATCATCGCGGACCCAGTCGCGGGAGTCATTCCGCTCGCCTACCAAAGGTGAGCCCACGAACTACTGGTTCAACGTGGTTTTTTAGTGGAGTCAAAAATAGGTGAGCCCACTAACTACTGCATGAACGTGCTGCTGCTGCGCGTGATCGGGCAGGGGGAGGTGGCACTGGTGGAGGTGTCCTCGAAAAACCCATTTGCTTATCTCTCCTTCCCCTCCCGTGTCCCTCCTCTGTCCCTCCTGTGTTCCTCGCTCTGTATTGGTTCTTTCCCCTCACAGGGTGCCGTGCTCCTTCCCCACGTCCATCACCTTCCGCGTGACCGGCACCAACTACTGGATGAACGTGCTGCTGCTGCGCGTGGGCGGGCCGGGGGAGGTGGCTCTGGTGGAGGTGTCATCTAAGAACGACCCCAACTGGCGCCCGCTCACGCACGACTGGGGCACGAATTGGGTCAGCTGGAGTTACATTGAGGGGCCGCTGAAGTTTCGGCTTACATCGGGGATGGACGGGGCTGTGATTACAACGGGGGAGAATTGCGTTCCAGCGATTTATCCTGGGGATTACACTTGCGGCGCGCAGTTTACGAGTGGGTATAACAGTTCGGATACTAACGGGGATGGCGGGAGTAACAGCAGCGTGGGGAACAATACAGATGTACCGGAGAAAAAGAACGGCGACAATGGCAGTAATGGGAATGCCGCTAGCGGAGACAGCAACAACGCCACGAACAACAGCAGCTCTGCAGTACCTTCCCCGTCAGCAGTGCCCCCAGCAACCATCCCCCCAGCAACCACTCCCCCAGCAACCACTCCCCCTGTAACAACCGACCCAGGAACAAACCCCCCAGCAACAACCGTCCCTGCAACAACCGCCCCACCAACAACTGCCCCTGAAACAACTGCCCCTGGAACAACCGCCCCTGGCACTACCGCCCCTGTCACTACCGCCCCTGGCACTACCGCCCCTGTCACTACCGCCCCTGGCACTACCGCCCCTGCAACAAACCCTCCTGTCACAACCACCCCTGCCACAACTCCTGGAACCGACAGCTCCTCTTTCGGACGAAGCAGCACTGCTGGTGGCGGCCCCGCCCCCGGTACTCCCGATGCTGACGTGTCCCCTGCCGCGTCAGCATCCTCTCCTGCTCCCGCCGGCCGCAAGGTCAATGCGGGCGGCAGCAACTCCGGCAGCGGCGCCGGCAGTCAGGAAAGTCAAGGGAGTAAAGGTAGCAGCAGCACGGGCAGTGGTGGCAGCAGCAGCACGGGCAGCCAAGGCAGCAGCACGGGCAGCCAAGGCAGCAGCAGCAGCGGTGGCGGCGGCAACATCAATGATCCCACCATCCCCTCAACCGTCATCCCCCCTCAAACGGGAGAAGACGTTCCTATAGGCTCGCAGACCACAGGGGGTGTGACTATACCGAATGCAAGCTACAGCATTGATTCAAACGGAGGAGCCGCCACCAGCAGCAATGCTCAAGTGGGAGCGGGCGGCACGGCAGCAGCAGGAGCAGTAGGTGCTGGTAACCCTGTAACTGCGGGTAGAGTGAAACGTGGGAAGAAGTGGAGAACTGAAGCAGCACCGCCTAAGAAGCCAGGAGGGGGCCACCCTGCAGGGAAGGGGCACAGAGCTCCGGGTAAAGGGCATCATGTGAAGACCCAGCCAGTCTTGGCTCGGTAACACTTGGCATGGTAACACTTGGCACGGTAACACTTGGCATGGTAACACTTGGCATGGTAACACATGGCATGGTAACATGTGGCTTGGTAACACTTGGCTTGGTAACAGATGGCTCGGGAACACTCTCTCGGTACGGTAACACTTGCATTGGTAACACTTGGCTCGGTAACACTTGGCTCAGTGACAGTTCGTTGTCTGCCATTGAAATTGCTCGTCAGAAGGGAGTTCAAGGCTCTACCTACAGCATGGGACACGAGGACATATCTACATACATATCTTGGACGCATGGATGGTGATTAGAATACAGCAATAGCATACATTTATAGCTGGTTGTAGGTTGCTCGCGTGGCAACCTTGGCCCGTGTAGGATTGTTCGGTGTGGTTCAGGACTAGTTAATCAGTTTGACTCTGCCAAACTTTAGTGTATTAATATATTTATATATGGTTATTTCGTCTTCCTTAATCATCCCAGTGTTGGCATTAGTATCCCCCCTTGTTCATGTGGCAGGAGCAGATAACGTTCATCAATTTTCCTCCCATCCCATTTCTCCGATTTCAGGGCTTGTGGAAACACAGTGAACCAGCAAAATCTCGCATTGCTCAACGAAGAATTGTACAGCCAGATTATTTTCACACGAGTATGGAAACAGACAGCCTATGGCTAGTCATGCTAGCATCCATTTCTGTTCACCTCCTTCCAACACCTTCTACCCCTCCTCAAACTAACACCATTCCACACACTCCCCCACTCTCCTATACGCCCCCATATATCCCATCCCCCCATCTACCCTCTTCCCCACTGGAAAGAGCCACTAGTCGATATCTGGCCCCAGCAGCAGCACCATGCATGGGTTGTTATATGAGTCAGCCCAGAAGCTCGGGGATTACCGTAGCAGCGAGTTGAGTTGAGTTTCGAAGCTGAGTGAAAGTCCTTGTAAATCTCGACCTTTCACCCAGCTTTAAGGGCATTTCGAAATTCGAACCAAACAACCTACTTCGTCTTCACCTTAACGAGCCGCTTCTTAATCTCCGCCTCCAGCAGCGGCACTCACGTGACACAGCCCCAAATAAGTTCACACCTTACTCCGTCTTCACCTTAATAAGGCGCTTCTTGATCTCAGCTTCCAGCAACGGCACCACGTACTGGTTAACATAGAACGCCGCGGTTACCGCGCCCGCGTGGCCGGGAAACATGGCATTCGCGAGCGCTTTCGCCGCCTTCTTCGCCGCAGCCCTCACCAACGCCTTCTGCTTCTCCGGGTCCTTGGCCGCCTTGATGGGGTCTCGCATAACCTTAATCGCGTCGAGAACGGCATCGCTCGCCATTTTCGCGGCCTTGTCTTTCATCTTCTTGGCGAGGCTCGTGTCAGGATACGCCTCGAAGATCCGCTTGGGTGCCGGTGATTCGGCCAAGGCGCGCCGGCTGGTGGTAACGCTGGCGCCATGGGTGGTACCTTCAGGAGTGATTTGCGCGACGCGGGGAGCCGTGGGATCGGCAGCAGCGACGGTCAGCGCGAAGGCCGCAAGGAGGACGAGGAGGAGAGAGAGGTAGCGGAGAGCCATGGCGGGTTGGGTATTGCGGCGATATGTATGAAGAATTAACGTGAAGCCTAGTTGAGTGTGCACGCGACGTACCGCGAAGTGACTCTGCGATGTGAAAAAAAACTTGCGAGGAAGCTAAATCCTGATGTGGGAGATTCGAATGCCTGTGAGAAGTTGGATGGGCCTCACAACTGAACTGCTAGCATTTATATATTTCCAGAGGCATGGATGTGCAACCCCGACGGATGCCCATTGGCGGGAGTGATAAGGGGGCTCACCAGAGCGACGCGAAGAGAGACGGCGTAGCATGCGGCGTTACAGCAAGCCATGAGCCAGGAGCTCCTGTCTAGCGTCGCATGGAATAATGGCGACGAATTTTGATAAGGGCAATAATTATCCCGAATTTCCTTCGACAAGGAGATGGGGGTTGCGAAGTAGGCTGTGGTGGACTGTGGTTTCGTCGCCCGCTTGACGCGGAGCGAATTTTGATTGGTCTTTCGCAGCCGCGTGATGCGGAGCGAGCTTTGATTGAGCTTGTGGCTGGCCGCGTATCGCGGTAGAAAGCAGAAAGTACATTACACGGAACAATGAAACAATTCTTATGTGTGCATTAACTTTGACAAATAATTAGCACCCCATTGGGGTTATGCGTGACATAAGAGTAGATATATTATGTTTTTATAGTAGAAAGTTACCATTTTCTTCAAAACTTTCATTTGAAATGATCTGCCATGTGGGCAGAGTACCCTTTTCAGATGTGTTATTGTGTTTTTATTACATTCTGTGAAGTGGCTGTGACCCTACACTGTAAACAGTAAACGGTGTCCCCGTGACGGAGGACTCATGTGTCCCCGCTGTCATAAACCCTCATCCCTCGCACGCACTAACGGTGTCCGTTGGATCAAGCTTTCAAGTTTCTTCTGGCGGCTTCTCTTCCCCTATTCCTCTTCTCTTCCCCACGTTCACCCATCCATTCCTCCCGTGGCAGTCCTTCTGAGGCAGTACCTCAGAACCCCGCAACCCTATTTTGTCTCCAACAGCCACTGGCTTTTCCCTTTCCCGTAGTTCCATTTCTCTCACCTCTTCCTCGCCTTGTGGGCAGTCTCCTTAACAGCCGCCGCCATGGGTCGTATGCACAGTCACGGGTCAGTAGATTCTAACCGCGCTTATGTTCCTTGTTTTCTCAGTTTGTTAGAGTTGGCACGCTGACGCGCGTAGTTCGCGTTTTGTGCACTCGTGATTGGGTTGATGCAGAAAGGGTATTTCGCGCTCCGCCCTGCCCTACAAGCGCACTCCTCCGAGCTGGTTGAAGATCTCAGCCCCCGAGGCACGTGCTTTCTCTCCTTACCCCAATTTTCATACATTGTTTCGTTCGCCTCTCCTAAGAGATCAACCCTAAAACCACGAATAGGCGTACCAGTGTGGGTTAATAGACGATTTTTTGTTCCTGGCATACGAGAGACCTTCTGGAAATACGCATTTCCCGACGCTCTGTGTTACGATTGTCGTGCTTCGATGACCCTGGCACACGCTCTTACTACCTAGCACATCCGCAAGCTCGCGACGAATTGGTCGATTCCTCATCGTTTCACGCTTTCGTCTCAAGTGTCTCACTCATTTGCTTTTCCGTCCGCTCGTTGCCATCATCCTATGCCAGGTCGACGAGCACATCTGCAAGCTCGCGAAGAAGGGTCTGACGCCGTCGCAGATCGGCGTCATTCTGAGGGACTCGCATGGTATCGCGCAGGTGTCCGGCGTCACGGGCAGCAAGGTCCTGCGCATTCTCAAGGCTCACGGTACCTGACCTGAAAACTCTTCTCTGCGGGGGTAACCCCCCCTCGAATATTCCTACGTCCCTTTCTGTAAGCTTCACTGCGGGCCGCACGGCCGGAGCAGTGAGCGGTCAGAGGGCGTTTTCGGTATGTGCCGCTCCATTACTCCATTGCGCTCGGGCGCTCGTGTTCGTCCAGGCTCCTAATAGAAATTGCTGGTTCCGGGTTTTGGTTACGCTACAGGTTGATGCTTTTTTTCTGTGTCAAATGTTTTGGATTCGGAACCCATCAGCTTTTTCCACTTGCAATCGCCCTGGGTCAAGTTTCTGAAATCTATGAAGAAAAAGGCCCCTGCCCTCAATGAATCTTCCCTTTTTCTTCACCCCCCTCAGGCCTGGCGCCCGAGATCCCCGAGGATCTGTACCATCTGATCTAAAAGGCGCTTGTTCCGCAATGTTCCCAACCGTTATTAATCCTTCCCCACCCCTCTCTTCCCCATTAATAGGCCTGGCACCTGAGATCCCCGAGGATCTGTACCATTTGATCAAGAAGGCGCTGGCGGTGCGCAAGCACTTGGAGCGCAACCGCAAGGACAAGGACTCCAAGTTCCGCCTCATTCTCATCGAGAGCCGCGTACACCGCCTCGCGCGCTACTACAAGTGGACCAAGAAGCTGCCGCCCAACTGGAAGTAGTGAGTGCATTTTTCTGCTGAGGTTTTCTTCCCTACATTTCTCCCTTACATTTCTCCCTCCCCCACCTTCTCTCTCCCCCGCCCCCCCTCCCCCATTCTCTCTCTACACTCTCTCACTCTATTCTTTGTGTGAATTCGGCTCTATGGGCTCAAACCGTCGTTGCTGCTTGCACTTGGCGCCATAAGCTGACACGTGAACCTAGAAGCAATGGGTACCGTGCATGCAAGGGTTCCGAGAGCCATGCTGCATGTATGACCCTTCTAATTGATATCTCATCCTTGCCATCCCATCTTTTCTCTCTACTTCTTGATGTCCTTGCAGCGAGTCCGGCACTGCCAGCACCCTCGTTGCCTAAGCAGGAAACCGGGATGCTGTCTCTGCTCTTGGAGATATTGGTTTGGTCTGGCCGGACCTGGGTTGCAGAGTTTAGCTTGGAGCATTGACTGTCAGGCTGTTGTATGTGGAGTGCCTTCGAAAGAACATTACTGTCCATTTCGGTTGGATCACTATTAAAATCCAGGTTTGAGCTAAGGAATCAAACCAAGTAAGGAAATAATGAGAGAATATTGAAATGTTTCTCTCATTGGGACATATACTGATATCTCCAATTTAGTTGGCATGTGATTCTTTTTATAAGGGAATTGTTATATCCACCGAAAGGACAAGCATACATAAGCAATAGCAGTCGTAACGGTGCTAACAGTTGGCTTGTGAACAATTATCAGATTGTTATTGAACAACAATTTGCATTATACTGTGACAGTATAAATCTAGTAATAATATAGAGAGCATAACATTATCTAAAGGTGTTTGTTGTGATTAACTACACTCGCACAGGACACATTCCTAACTGGGGTTGAGCCTAACGAGAGTTCGGGGGAGAGACGAGTGCGGCAACATCCTCATCCCAATCCGACGAGTATTCTGGTTCAGGCTCGGCGACAAATGCAGGCTCGGCCGGCAGCAGCGCCTGCTGCGAAACGATCGACAGCATCTTCATCTCCTCGTCGTCGCCCACCACCAGCTCGCGAATGCCCTCGTGCAGCGACACCAGCTCCTGCACACAGCCATGGTGAGGGAGTGAAGATAAGACTAACACATTGAGGAGACGTGCAGGAAGGCGTGATACCAGCAGGGACGGGTATATGCGAACTAAGGATACAAAATGTGAAGGGGCAAGGGGACACCAAGGATTCGGAAGTCCGGGGTAGAAGGGTGTTAGGGAGGGGAGGGCGCTGAATTTTCGTACCGCGGCGTTGTTGCGCGCGGATTGCGCGATGACATCGAGGGCGAGAATGGGGAACGGATTCTCGATAATCACGCCGACCTCCTCGATGCAGAAAAAGACCCCCGCGCACATGGCGGTGACGGGGATCGTGAGCCAGCCGAGGGGGTCCCAGAGCGCGAGAGGCAGGAACATGTGATAGAGCACGAGGAATCTCGAGGTGAGCCGCGTGTAAGAGAGTGGGATGGGCGTTTTGAACAGCCTCTCGCTGCCTCCCACGTCATCAGCGAACGTGGCGAAGTTGGCCTCCTGAAAGTGCAGAGTTTGAGGAAAGAACATTAGGCAATGTCAAACATAAATACTGGAAAGCCACTACCATAGTAGGCTTGTGCAATACATGTGATAATACATGAACCAGAGCGTGTATCGACACGTACCATAGCGAGGCGGTGCGCGGGCTCCATGGTGCAGGAGCGCATGCATTCCGACATCATCTGCAGCACGTAGTTGGGGCGATGCGTCGCGCCCAGCACGCCCTTGATCTCCGCGTCGCTCAGCGTCGTGAATTGCTGCGGGGGGGAAATTCGAAGCGGGGAGCAAGCGGGCGCACGGAAAAGGAATGGATTGGGAAGGGCGGGATAAAATGTTCTAAAACCAAGCAGCCGAAAATTCTGTGGGGGATCTGCCCCGCCTAGTAGCTCAGATTCCTAGCGGATATGTTTCCTTACCGATTGTTTTTGACATCCATTCAAATTGACGAGCCTACTAAGACGAAACACTTACCCGGAGATCTTCCTCGAGCGAGCCTTCCTGGAGGAAGTGGTGCTTGTACGCGAGCGGGAACGCCTGCAGGTGCCGGATGAACTGCGCGCGCTTCGGGTACTCGTACGTGTGGTCGTCGCGCGCCATGTACGACAGCGCCTGTCGCGTGATGTCGCGCGAGCGATTCAGCATGAGCCCCCACATTTTGCGCGCCTCGTCGAACCGCCCGTAGCTGGAGTTGGTCCGGAAAACCAGGAGGAAGGAGAGCGCTGGCGCCGTGAGGGTGAACGGGAGGTTGGAGATGTGGAGTATATGAGCCCATTCTGGGAGCGCGCCCATGCCTGCGAGCTCGTTCCACCCGCAAATTGCGGTTGCGATGCCGGTCATGACGCCGACGGGCAGGCCGAGCGCGCCGATGACCTTGGAGGTGAGGATGGTCTTGATGTGGCGGAAGTAGCGCCCGCTCGACTTATGCTTCTGCGCAATGTCACGCGGAATGGGGGCAACGCGGGATGGGAGTGAGGGGAGTGAGCGGAAGGGGGAGGTAGCATGCGCGAGTTCAAAAGGGAACCAGGCCTAACACGAATCACGCTAAAGCGGGAAAATAATGCTGCTTTTTTGGATCGTTGGATCCAGATCGCCCAAATCGCGCCACGGACCTTCCACTCGTCATGGCCGAAGACGACGCGGCGTCGAACCAGCGAGTCGAATTTTACGGCGTCGATGGAGCTGACATCCACCAGCGCCTTCACCACCAGCGGCTTCCGCCCCTTGCGCTCCGCCGCTTGCGCGCGTCTGGCGGCGTGCGGCTGCGCGCGCGGAACCTTCCGCAGAGAGACGCGGCGGAGGGAGCCATCTTCCCACTGCTGCGGATCAGCGGCGCGCGCGTTGGCGCTGGCTTGGGAGGGGGTGAGCAGCTTGGAGCCCCGCGAGGCAAAGCTTACAGTCGCCATTGTGCGCGACTTAGGACGAAGCCCTCTGCTTTGGTACCAGAAGTGTCAGCCTGAGGAAACCCAAATTACGGAGGTTGGTTCTACAAAAATAGTTCACTTCTGCACGATTTGTACCATCACACACTCGAAAACTGGTGGGCGTTTGGAGTGCAGTTGACACCCAAACCAACTGTGAACTTCAGAGAGGTGGGCGAGATACGTTCGGGACGAATACCGCGGTGCGGGAGTCCAGGATGCGATGAATTTTGCTTACATTGGCGGTCAACGCGGAGGTCTGGGGGATTGGTGGTCATGGTGGGGGGCTAGAACGACGGGTCGCACATCGATCTCAATGACGAACGGCCAGCGTGTTGTGATGCCACGTGGTGGTTGGAGACTGGAGAGTTCAGCCTACTTCCACTCGGATGACAGCTTCTCAAGGCTCATCCATCAACGTGACTAGGCGAAGGTGTACGACTTCCAGAAACCGTCTATAGCGGAGGCAACAAAATATGTAACAAGTTCCACCAAAACAACCACACAATTACAACTTGATCTCACAAGAACCACCATGACAGAATACAAAACAAACAATACTAGATTGTTCAGATCATGTGCAGATATTGATATGTTTGGACCTTACCATGTCTGCTATCGATAATGCCTATGAATACCATCTCAACAGTTACAAAATGTCTTACATCATAGATAGTCCCTAACTCTACCATACTTTTATATTCGAACTTCTACATTCCCAATTTTAGTTCTAAACAGTCATTAAATCTCCTAGGAGTACGCACTAGTCTTCCAGACCTAGTCACGGTCACAACTTCCCAATCCCATGCATGAGAGCTGCGGCCTCGTTTACAAGAACCACAGAATATATTCTTCTCCCTAGCACTCTGTGCAGTTTCTATCTCCAGACTGCATCCTTCCAAACCTGTCTCACTCTGCCCAGATACCTCCTCACACACCCAGCTCCTCTCCTCATCCACTCCACTCCCCTCCTCTTCACACTCACACATCATGTCCGTACTGCTCCCTGCTACTCCCCACCTCCGCAGTATCCGCCGCCGGGCACGGCCCTTCCTGGCCCACACGGGGAAATCAACCAACCCAATACCACCCCTTCCGTCTGGCAGAGCAACAGCTGCTGCTGGCAAAGCCCCACTGCTGGTGCTACTTCTAGTGCTGCACGCCCCTGACTTCCACGCCTGCTGCAGAGCACGACCCTTCCTAGCCCACGTCCGTGGCCTCCTAGCGCGGCCATTTATGCCCCACGCGAGGAACCCGTGAATCCTGTCGGTGCTCGTGTCAGTGCCGGCGTCCGTGTCAACGTTCGTGTCAATGCGCGAGTCAACCTTGGTGTAGATGCCCGTGTCAGCGGGGTATCCGCTGTGGGATGGTGAACCAACGCCAGCAGCAATCGCGGAAGTTACTGCTGACGCGCCATCACTACGAACAAGCACCTTCTCGCTTCGTACCACGACTTCTTTCAAACAAGGCTCACCACAAAAAAAGTTAGGACATCTTGCCCTGCGTTCGCCTTCAAGCCCATCAACCACCGTGAAGCCCCTTCCCACACACTCCTCTATCGGATCATCTACAACCGAGGCGGTTTCCGAGGACAACGCAGAAGCTGATGGAGTTTCCCGGATATAAGTCGCATCATTCACATTGGCCTGTGTTTCTGCGTTGTCGGAGTTGTCTTCACGGACTGTATTGGGTCCTGAATGGGTGGTTGGGAGGATGAATGTTAGGAACGACGGAAGGTAACATATCGCTGGTGTTACTAAGCGCTGAGAACGTGTGTGCGATAGAACATAAAAGCGATGGGCCTGCTGAAAGGAAACCTACCGAGACATCGAGAAGCAGATCGTCCGTATGATGGAGCCACGTTCTCACACGGCTCTGCCGAAATAACCAGTTGTTCCCCGACACCGGCGGAAGTGGCCTCTTCTATTTCGAAAAGCTCTGGAAAAACGGTCTTGACATTGTCGAATATCTCGTCCGCTTCACCCAGCCCGAGTGAGGCGGTGTCACTGACAGTGTCGTCGTCTTCGTGATTCCTGCAGCGTTGCGTTCCACGTACCGGCCGTCGGATCAACGCGGCGTTGACGTCAGAACCAATATGCATAAGAAAAATGTGGGGACGTGCGAACTGGAGGGACAATGATGATGACTTCGTTTACAACGGCTGGGTGCGGTGTGACTGTGATACGGTGACAATATCTTGCTATTGCAAGTTCGGGGGCGGATACGCACCCATCGGCCAATGCAGCGGCGGAGTATCGCGCAGGATAAACCATGTGGCTTGCGTAACCAGCGGAAGAACGACTGACGCTTAAGAATTGGCGTTAAAGAAATACCTTGCTGGAAAGTGCCAGGCAGCGGGATCGAATATGTCGGTTGTAAGGCAAACATGGCGAGGCCTGTCTGGAATATGCCAGGCCGTGAATGTTGAGGGAGGTAGATGCAACACCCCTAGGCGCTTTGAATGAGAGTTGGAGTGGGAGGGCCTCAGGGCAGGACTCGGCTGGTTCGGGGGGAAGGAGATGGCTGGCTGTAGAAGTGCCGGGGATCTTGGCTTGGATTCGAATTTTGAATTTGGCATTTGAGTTGCGGTACGACTTGAATTCAAATAACCCGAATCGGGTTCCGAACTAAGGCTACAGCACTTTTGCAAATGTGAACGACCACAAGCCAAACGAAGACAAAACAGATAAAAAGTACCGTATCACAGACCACTTTTGTCAGCTCAACCCCATCAAAATCAACTTTCTTTGTTCTTAACCCGAACATAATCATATTAGGGGTGTATGGATGGGAGTGTAATAGAGAGTAAGGAAGCATAAATTTTATAGCGAACCTCGTACCTTACATCCGCTTCCCTCTCTGCCCGCATTGTAAGCATCACAAATTCGCCATTCACACGCCGATGACTATTGGCCCTGTTCGACAGGCAGGCACCTCCTTGGAGAGCTAGGGTTAGGCTAGAGCTAAGAGGAGTTTTCGAAGTAACTTCTCATAGGCTACCCCCCCCACCCACGAAATCGGAAGTAGCGCCTCCCGAGGTCGAAAGGAGGGGGTCATTATGGCGATGTTGCAACCCCATCTTCCACCGTCTTCATCGTGGGCAGGGTTTAATTTTTTTTATAGGGATGGCATGGGATGGGAACTTGGGTAACTTAAGGGAATAAAAAAGATTGAAGTGGACAAGTGAGGGTACATTCTTGGCTCGTGTCTGACATGAGGTCAGACACGAAGTGAAGTTAAGGAAGACCCGAAGTGAGTTGGAACTCTGGCAAATCAATGTTCGGAAGACCCGAAGTGGGCCACTTCGGATCTTCCGAACCTCCATCCAAACCTCCACTTCGTGTCTGACACGAGGTAGGAATGTACCTTGAGAGTCGTGCGTGGCTGGTGGCTGGTTTGGCTGTGTGAGGAAGGGACTTTTTCAGGGCAGAGATGGGAGAGACGAGAGCACGGGCACTGGTGGGAAAAATTTCGTAGGGTAGGGGGTGGGTATACCCTCCCGTATGGAACCCTAGCCTAGCCCTTGGCCAACCTCCCTTCTAGGGATTGGAGGGCTGGGCTAGAGCTAGGCTAAAGTCTGTGCGGGAGAGAAGGAGCTGGGAGCTTTCGGGGGGGGTGAAGTTGAAGGGTTAACGTCGCGTTCGACAGGCTAACCCTTAAAACCGGAGGTCCAAGAGTTTCTAAGTTAGGAAGGTTGAAAGGGGAGAGGGTGGTGTCGAAATTGGTGGTCTGGGGTCGCAAAGGAAGAAAATTTCGCGAAAAGAACCAAATCTGGAATGCAACGTCAGAACTGGTTCGAAGACAGTTTCGGATGGGCTTCAAATTTGTTGGCGAAATCGTCATTGCTTTCGTCCTCGCTAGAACAGTAGTTCCGCGTGATGAAAATTGTCCCCCCGATTTGCGAAGTGAGTCGTACCTATTGGGTCACCCCTTCTCAAAGTTAGGAAGGTTGAGGCACTTTGGGGCTGTTTGGGACTCTGATTTTAACCCTTCAGGTTGCAGGGCGTTAAAGCCCAGTGACACCAATTTGCGGGCTGACCGTGGGAAAAAAACCCAAGTGGAAACAACCGTGATGATTCCGCGGAAGGGCTTGCCTGCCTGTCGAACAGGGCCATTATGCAATGAGAGTCGATGTGATTTCCATTCATCCTCGCTACGTAGTATAATCAATGATTGAGAAAGCTTGCTTTCTTACTCTTATCAATTGGCATCGTTGTCATTACAAATGGCTTATTACAACATTTGCATCAACGTTGAACACAAGCTAGTGCAATCGAAAAACACTAGCTAAGATGTACCCTATCCAAGTGGCATTAGCAAGGCGGTTTGTCGAACTCATATGCTATAGTCTGTGTAGGCTGTAGTGGGGTAGACAATATGGGGTACAACACTTTTAGGTTTTCCTACTTGTACCCACCTGCTTGCTAGTGCATTCATTTTTCCTCATTTCTTCACATGGTATAGAGCAGGTTCCATAGTGGGAACGCTTCTTAGGGCCCACCACTGAAATCGATTTTTTTTTTTCCTGACCGGAGCGCGAGTCGCCCCTGCCCGAGGCGCGCCCCTTGGGCCGCCCTCTCATCGCGTCCCCTGCCCTTAGCGGCCTGTCGCGCCCTCCTAGAGGCCCCTCGCGCCACCCTTAGCGGCCCCGTCGCCACCCCTAGCGGCCCCGTCGCCACCCCTAGCGGCCCCGTTGCCACCCTATACGGCCCCGTCGCTGTCCTTTGCGGCCCCGTGGCCGCCCCTCTAGGCCCCTCGCGGCCCCTTCGCAGCCCCGTCGCCGCCCCCAACGGCCCCGTCGACGCCCTTTGAGGCCCCTCGCGGCCCCTTTGCGGCCCCGTCGCCGCCCTTAGCGGCCCCGTCGCCGCCCCTATCGGCCCCGTTGCCGCCCTTCGCGGCCTCGTCGCCACCTCTAGCGGCCCCGTCGCCACCTCTAGCGGCCCCGTCGCCGCCCTTCGCGGCCCCGTCGCCGCCTCTAGCGGCCCCGTCGCCGCCCTTCACAGCCCCTCGCGGCCTCTTCTCGGCCCCGTTGCCGCCCCCTTTCAGCCCCTCCCCGGCCCCTTCACCGCCGAGCAGCCGAGCCGCCGAGCCGCCGACCCGCCGAGCCACCGAGCCGCCGAGCCGCCGAGCCGCCAAGCAGCCGAGCCGCCGAGCCGCCGAGGCCGCCGTCGAGCCGCCACTACCGAGCCGCTGCCGCCGAGCCGCCGTCGAGCCGCTGCCACCGGAGTTGCAGCCCTGTTCCTACTGGCGAGCCCCGGCCCTACCCACCCGGACTGGTGAGAGCACTCCCTGCTAGACCACTGCTGTCATGGCCACCCCAAGTGTCCTTACCTTTGATGCTGAGGGTCGTGCTGTTGACTTCGAGGTCTGGGTCGATGACCTACAGCTCTTCCTACAGTGCGATAGGGCTGACAGACTCTCCCTGTCTGATCTCACCTCTGGTGCCTCTCCTGCCCCGCCTACTGATGCTGACAGCATTGTTCGCTCACAGTGGGCTACACGCGATGCTGCTGCCCGTCTTGCTGTGCGTCGCCACTTACCGACCGCTAAGCGTGCGCACTTTAGTCAGTACAAGAGTGCTAACACCTTGTACGACGCTGTTGTTGCACGCTACTCTTCCCCTGACACTACTGCCCTTAGCCGCCTTATGCTGTCGTACCTGTTTCCTGACCTCGCCGCCTTTCCCACTGTCGCTGACCTCGTTACGCACCTTCGCACTAGTGACACCCGCTACCGCGCTGCGCTTCCTGCTTAGTTCTACGCTAAGAACCCCTCCCCCCATGTACATCACCCTCTACTACATAGTCACCCGGCTCCCTGACTCCCTTCGCTCGGTCAGGGACCACTTCCTCTCTGTTTGCCCCACCACACTCACCGTTGACCTCCTCGAGGAGCTCCTCCTGGTAGTTGAGAAGAGTATATTCGCTGTAGGAGCCTCTCGAGGTGAACCTCGTGCCCCTGTCTTTGAGGGGTGCTCCCCCTCCCCCCTTTTGCCCTCTGTTGCCTCTTTTGCTGTTGTCGACTTCGTTGGCACCGAGTCGGTTGGCGCTGCGTCTGCCCCTAGCGGGCGACGCCGCACCGGCAAGGGCAAGGGGGGCAAGGGCGCTGGAGGGGCTGGCGGGGGCTGTGGAGGTGGCAGTGGAGGAGGCGGAGGGAGTGGGGGTGGTGGTGGGAGTGGTGGCGGGGGTGGGGGCTTCTGTGGCGGCGGTGGCGGCGGAGGCGGCGGCGGCGGTGGCGGTGGGAGCGGCGGTGGGAGCGGAGGCGGCGGAGGTGGCGGAGGCGGCGGCGGCATCGGTGGAGCTGGTCGCGGCTCTGCACAGAGGAGTGGCTCCAGTGGTGGTCCGCGCCAGCTGCAGCAGCGCACTCGTGAGACCCCGTCCCCTCAGCAGCTTTGTGAGTGGTACGCTGGGCGTCAGCGAGGTCGGGGTACTGGTCCCTGTACCTACGTCCTCCGCACCGGCGACCGCGCTGGTGAGTAGTGCGGGGGCTCGCACTCCACCCAGCGCTGCTTCGGCCGCCTGGCGCACACTTGGCGTCACCAGTTCCCTGACGCCACTGAGATCCCTCGCTGGGGAGAGCTGTCTAGGGCAGGGGTTGCTATCTTTGATTTTGATTAAGATGCTATTCTTGCTGCCATGTATGCTGTGTCTACTAGTGATGAGGGTGACTGTTACCTGTGTGTTCCGCCTGACCCGGGCATTGAGGCTGCTGCTCTAGCTGCTGGTGAGGCTGCTGCTCTAGGTGCTAGTGCGTCTGCTGCCCCAGGTGCTGGTGAGTCTGCTCCCTCAGGTACCACGTCGGCTCAGGCCTTACTCACCTTCACTTTTGACTCGGGTGCTTCCCGCTCCTTCTTTCTAGACCGCACCACGCTTACGCCGCTTAGTCGGCCGGTTGCGGTCTCCCCGGCGGACCCCTCTGGGGGTCCTGTCCTTGCTCACTTCTCCACTGTCTTATCGTGTCTGGCAGCCCCCTCTGGCACCATGTCAGGTCTCTACCTCCCCTCGTTCTCTACAAACTTGGTGAGTGGTGCTAACCTACAGGATGGGGGGGTTGACCAGTTCACTCCTTCGAGTCAGCGGGTGACCCACTGTACGTGTACTCTGACGGGCCGACACTTGGCCACGTTTACCCGTCGGCCGGGGTCGAGCCTGTACACACTGACTACTGAGTCTCCTCCGGTTGCTGAGTCTGGTCAGGTAGCTGCGTCGAGTCAGGTGTTTACTGCAGCGTCCAGGTCTGGTCCTGAGTCTGCTCCCTGCTCGTGTCGTCTCCTGTCCCACCAGACTCTCCTCTAGCACCACCGCCTTGGTCACCCCTCCCTGCCTCTGGAAGTGCCTTGGTAAAGATATCAGCAGTGTTGGCCTCAGAGGCCACGTAAGCAAGGCGCAGCTGACCGCGCTGCTGCAGCTCACGAGCAAGGAAGTAGCGAAGAGCAATTTGCTTCGTTCTGTGCTCCATTCTGTGCTCCCGACACAAGGCCAGTATGGCCTTGTTGTCTACGTACAGAACTGGAGGAGAACGAGGCTGCTCTCCAAGGTCAGTCAGCAGGTAGGTGAGACAGCGTAGCTCCTGTGCAGACATGGCCCCTGCGTAGATCTCAGCCTCACAACTGGAGCCGAGAACAAAAGACGAGCGGGTAGACCGCCACGAGACAGAGCCAGAACGAAGGCTGAAGGTGTAACCCTGTGACGACCGCTGCGTAGCCTGGTCGTCAGCCCAAGAAGCGTCTGCGTGACCAGTGAGGACCACTGGACGTCGCCCTCTAAGTACTAGCCCCATGCCCGACGTACTGCACAAGTAGCGCAACACCCTCTTCGCTGTAGCCATGTGCTCTGGTCGGTCTCCACCAGGAGCAACATAGCGTTCCAAGATGCTAAGAGGGTATGCTAGGTCAGGTCGAGTGCAGGTCATTAGGTACATGAGGCAGTCAACAAGCTCTAGGTACGGGCCACTTGGCTCTACGGACTCATCCGAAGGCAGAGCTAAGAGCGAGTGGCGAGTAGACAGAGGAGTGGCCTGAGGCGAGGAGTACGTGAAGTCACAGCGCTGAACGACCTGCTGCACCATGTGTGACTGAGTCAGGGTAATGGTGCACTGTGCTCTGTCCCGGGTGATCTGCAAGCCAAGGTAGCTGCGCAGTTCACCCAGGTCTGTGCACGTGTGTCTCTTCTGCAGCTCGGACTTCACGTGTGCGAGTCCAGCAGTGTCAGCAGTGGCAAAGACCAAGTCATCGACGTACACGAGGATGTAGAACGGCGGCAAAGAGGTGTCGGTGCGTAGAAACAGCGACGGGTCGGCAGTAGAAGGAGCAAACCCAAGAGTCACAAGTGTAGTCCTCAGTGTGTCGTGCCACTCACGGGGCGCCTGGCGGAGACCGTAGACTGGACGCCGAAGACTCCACTGGGTACCAGGAGGGAACGACCCAGTGAAGCCAGGTGGGCGGCGCAGCCAGATCTCCTCGTGCAGGCTGCCCTGCAAGAAAGCTGTGCTGAAGTGAAGAGAGCGAAGCTCGTAGTTGCACTGAGCGGCTATGTGCAGCAGCACCCGAAGAGTGGTCATCTTCGGGGTAGGGGAGAAGGTCTGAAAGTAGTCAACTCCCTGCCGCTGACTGAAGCCTGGGGCCACGTAACGCGCCTTGAAGACAGGCGGAGAACCCGGCGGCCGCTTCACCCTGAAAATCCACATGCCACTGACGATGTTCGCACCAGGTGGGGGAACCTCGTCGACGTAGGTGCCTGTGGACTTCTAGGAAGCCATCTCTGCGTCCATGGCTGACTGCCACTTTGAGGAGTAGGGACCCTCGATCGCCTTAGCGTACGATCGAGGAGTCGGGATGTCTGGTGCATCCGGGTCTTCCTCAGGGGCAATCAGCGTGGACACGAGATGAGGCAAAGCAGCAGCAAAACACTGGAACTCCTCCCGCCTGTCCTCAAGGACGTCCGTGCTAAGAGCACACTCACCCCCGACGGACGGAGGACAGACAGACTTAGACTCAGCAACAAGACTAGCAGCGTAGTCTAGCCGACAGCGAGCAGCAAAGTCGACCAGCTCAGCCACTAAGGCAGACGCAGCAGTGGACTCAAAAGAAGGGTCAGTGGCAACAGTAGCTAGGAGACGTGTGACAGTAGGACTGGTAGCACGAAGAGAGTCAGACTCAGGGTCAGCAAGAGTAGGAAGAGAGGACTCTGGAGGAGACGGCAACGGGACACGCAGAGGAGCAGTGGAAGGACGTAGTGCCATCGGGTGTGTGCCGGGGACCGCAGGAGGACGCAGACACGGAGTACGACCACTAGTGCGAGCAGCACGAAGAGGAGACATAGGACGAGACGCAGGCTCACGACGCTCAGCAAGACCTCTAGTAGGACCAGTGTAGGGAGAAGGAGTAGGCAAGGGGGGGGCAGGCTGTAACTGTGACCGCGAGTGGACAGGCTGTGGACACGCTAAGGGAGGAGCAGGACCAGTAGAGGACGGGAGACCAAGAACCTGCTCAAGGAGCGGAACGAAGTACGGTCTCGGCCGCGCAGCGCCTCCAGAACCAGCAGGGACAGCACCAGTACCCCCAGCGGCAGCACCAGCGCCAGCAGCACCTCCAGCTCCAACAGCGCCAACTCCAGCACCCTCAGCAGCACCAGCGCCAGCAGAACCACCAGCGCCAACACCCCCAGCAGCTCCAGCTCCAGCAGCTCCAACTGCTCCACCAGCACCAGCTCCAGTAGCACCTCCAGCAGGACACCCAGTCTCAACAGCTCCAGAACCGCCAGGACGAGCACCTCCAGAACCAGCAGCAACAGTAGTACCTCCAGCTCCAGCAGCACGGCTCCAGCGCCGGGCAAGCCACTCGCGCAGCTCCTGCAGAGAGAGTAGCTCCCGCCTCGACAAAGCACCACTAGAGGCCACACGAGTAGACCCCAGGCTCCTCACCCCCAGGCTCAGCACCCCCAGGCTCAGCACCCCCAGGCTCCGCACCCCCAGGCTCAGCACCTTGAGACGCAGCAACCCCAGGCTCAGCACCCCGAGACTCAGCACCCCCAGGCTCCGCACCCCCAGAACCGGCACCCGCAGGCACAGCGCCCCTAGCAGCACCAGAGTCAACAGCTACCTCGACAGGCTCAACTGCGTCTACCTGGGACACACCTGACGGGGCAGGACCCTGAGGGGGGAGGGGGTCTACCGGGGGAGGACCTGGTGCAAGGAAGAGCGGCGGCGGGGGGAGGGGCGCAGTGCAGTAGGGGAAGAGACGGTAGCAAGGCACCGACTCGTCAAAGGTGACGTCCTGGGAGGACAGAACACGGCGCAAGGTGGGGTGGTAGAACTGCCAACCAGGCGCGTCAGGGGGGAAGCCAAGGAAGACGCAGGGAACAACACGGCGGGAGAGCTTGTCCGCAGACAAGTCGCGGACAAACGCCCGAGATCCCCAAACCCGAAACGCAGACGCATCGCCGACCTTCCCCGTCCACCGCAAGGTGGGGGAGGTCTCTGGCAAGGAGACCCGGGGCTGAAGGTTGAGCTGATGCGCCGCGTACTGAACCGCAAACGGCCACAGAAAATGGGGAGCAGCCGCATGGATCATGGACATACGAGCGACGTCCATGACCATGCCAATGCGGCGCTCAGCAATCCCATTTTGCTGTGGAGAGGCCGGAAGCGTGAAGGTCTGGCGGATGCCCTGTGCACGACAGAAGGCTCCCAGACGGGCAGAGGAAAACTCTCCGCCTCTGTCAGAGTGCAGACGCAGAACAGGAAAGTCCGAGCCAAAAATCTCTCAGAGCTGGAGACGAGCTGCGCGGATCCAATCGATCAACACCTCAGTGACGTCACCCTTGCTGCGCAAGGGGAACACCGTGGTGTAACGCGAGTAGTCGTCAACCACCAACAGGAAGTAACGCTCGTGACCCTGGCCACGGACGCGGGTGGGGCCCCACACGTCCATGTGAAGAGTCTGCAGCGGAGCCTCTGTCGGAGGAAACTCGGAGGAGTGAGGAGCGGCACGCTGCCGCCCCTCGACGCAATGGACGCAGGTAGGGGGCCGGCCCCGGAGGTAGGGGAGGCAGGGACCGGGGGAGACCAGAGACAAGGACACGAGAGGCCATACCTCGGAGACGAGGCAGGGAGGGGTGACCAAGGCGGTGGTGCCAAAGGAGAGTCTGGTGGGACAGGAGACGACACGAGCAGGGCGCAGACTCGGGATCAGACCTGGACGCTGCAGCAAACACTTGACTCGACGCAACTGCCTGACCAGCCGCAGTAACAGGAGGAGACTCAGTGGTCAGTGTGTATAGGCTCGACCCCGGCTGACGGGTAAACGTGGCCAAGTGTCGGCCCGTCCGAGCACACGTACAGTGGGTCAACCGCTGACTCGAAGGTGTGAACTGGTCAAACCCCCGATCCTGTAGATCAGCTCCACTCACCAAGTTTGTAGAGAACGAGGGGAGGTAAAGACCTGACAAGGTACCAGATGGGGCTGCCGGACACGGTAAGACAGTAAAGAAGCTATCAAGGACAGGACCCCCAGAGGGGTCCGTTAGGGAGACCGCAACCGGCCGGCTAAGCGGCGTAAGCGTGGTGCGGTCTCGGAAGAAGGAGCGGGAAGCACCCGAGTCAAGGGTGAAGGTGTGCAAGGCCTGAGCCGACGTAGTACCTGAGAGAGCAGACTCACCAGCACCTGGGGCAGTAGACGCACTAGCACCTGGAGTAGCAGCCTCACCAGCACCTAGGGCAGCAGACGCACTAGCACCTAGAGCAGCAGCCTCACCAGCACCTAGAGCAGCAGCCTCAATGCCTGGGTCAGGCGGAACACACAGGTAATAGTCACCCTCATCACTAGTAGGCAATGCATACATGGCAGTGAGGATAGCATCATAGTCAAGAGTATAGATATCTACCCTGAGCCGAAGCAGCTCCACCCAGTCGGGGAACTCAGCCGCGTCGCCAAACTCCATACGCCAGGCGTCGCTCAGACGGGCGAAGGAGCGGGACTCTGCGTGACCACGCGTTCCGTAAGGCTGACCAGTCCGAGCACCAGTGCGAATAATGTACGGACAGCGAGCAGTACCCCGGGACCCGTCACGCTGAGCGTACCACTTTCGAAGCTGCTGGGGCGAAAGGACCACGCGCGGACGATACTGAAGCTGCACCTGGCCACTACGAGCAGCTGCCGAACTACCGACTCCAGGACGACTCCCACTACGACCACCCCGACAACCCCAACTAGTGTACCAATCACGAAGTTGTTGGGGGGTGAGGGACTCACGCGGGCGACGCTGCAGCTGCACCTGGTCGCTACAAGCAGCTGTGG